AGGCTGACACTGAACTGATACATGACTGGAAAACGCAACACTGCAAAAGCGCTAGCTGCACTGAACGAGGACAACATGACTTTGTTCTAGACGTGGGTGGCACATAGCACCCAAAGAATCATGTACAGTAAATGTTGTTGCAATTTAGAGGTTTGTGAGTAACGAGTCTTGCAAATCAGGGGCAAGCTTGAACTTTGCAGTGGCTTCTTCCACATTCTCAGGGTTCTTGTCCGGATGATGTCGCAGGGCTTGCTGTTCTTAGATGACACTGGAAAATAGGACAAACAAAGGCTTTGACCCCTCCCGTGCAACCAAAGCATCCACTCTGGACAGAACATCATGTAGCAATATGTAGCAAAACTCAGCACCACAACTCGGATACAAGCAGGGTTTCAATTGGCTCAACCGATGAAGCAAGCTGAAGCTTTATGGTGCTCATCCTCCCAAACACTCACTCGTTAGCAGTTATCCTCATTTCCTTGACATTGAGCGAGCATCTGTAAGCCCGTCGTATTTCATCAGCGCCAGCAGTTCTGGGAACCCCAAGTACTTCATAGTAGTCCGGCTGCCGAGGCATGGCAGTGGCAAGCGACTACTTCGTCTTGCTCAAGGGCTGAGAAAGCTGATAGGGATTCCTAAATATTGGGTGCGAACACAGTTCAACTGAGCTGATATAGGCAAGCTAAGGCCCCAAAAGCACAAAACCTGGGAACTGCACCATGGAAAGCTTGCGAGGTAGCTGGCATGCTGTTGATGGCAAACCTTGATCAAAATGATGGTCCTAGACTCCAAATGGTTGCGTTTCATCAATCACTAACTGCTTGACTGCTTGCCCTTGCCTGACAATGAACGAGTATTCTACATTATATACATATATATATACCGGGTCCTCATTGACCATAGGGCCACATGAAAGAACATGGCATCCCTCAAGAACAGCTTCCTGTTTTACTCCGATGAGCCAAAAGCGCAAATACACTGGGGATGTACAGCTTAAAGAAAGATCAGTTTTAGCATCAAAATGGCAAATCATTATGGCAACAAATCCAGGCTACCGTTTTCTTCCGTATGCCTGTCATTTTTGTCATTTGGGTGATATGCTACCTAGCACTCTGACAATCTCTCACCTCTGACGTTCTTCTTGCACTTTTATCTGCAACATGATTTCATTTGACAGTGGAGGAACAAAAAAAGAGACTGCCTCGTGAACTCACTCCTGTTCACTGTGAACTCTCTCTCCGCCTCGTCGTGGTCGGCGTCATACGCCAGCGGTCCAAAGTTGGCCCACCTCGTTGGTTTCGAGGTGGATCTCGTTGCAACAGGACGGCCCAAAAGAGGACTCCCATGAGTGATGTGTAGCAAATGATATGTGCTAAAACTTTGATGAATCTTGTGTTGAGTGTGAAATGTGCTGGATGGACCAGGCAAAGAACAAAAAAACACACGCACAATCAACATGACCTACAGAACATACAAAGACGCATACCATATAACTACTTCTTTCTTACACAAACAGATTTACGCAGCGTAGACATGTGGCTGTTTGCAATTTCCGCTTGATTTATTGAAATGTCCACCTAGCGATACACAAAGAGGCCTCACTCAAGGAACCAACTGTAGACTTTCACCTGGCACTGGGCTGCCCTGCATCCCGCCCGGCCGCAACACATGGGCAGCTGTACGAACAAAGCCTGGATGGGCTTCGTTGCGGCGCTCTGTGGCCGCCGTGGTGCACTAGTTCACATCATGAAACAAACATCTATCCCAGCACCACTCAGTTCACAGTTCGGTTGGGTGAAAGGCCCCCACTACCATCGGTTTACCAAGATCCATCTGGGGTGGTGCTGGTTATGGACGTTCGGCTGTCCCATGGTTTTAGGTGCTCACTTCTGGCCCATACTAAAAACATCTAAAAACCCTGTTTGCCTTGTGAGACTGAAAGCACACAACACAACGCCTTCGTACCGCAGGAGAACAACTTGGACTATGTAGTTGGAAGTTAGAGCGTGCAGGACCTTACTACTTACCTCAATTAACTTACATAGACAGTACAAAGTAGATGATAGTAGAAACATCATGAAACACAAAGAATCCAACCCATGTTTTGTCCAAAGGACCCAACATGGGAACCCAGGACCCAACTTCGGCGCAAGGTCTCACAACGAATATCAACGAATCAAGTCCTGAAGTGGACGACGGCACTTTGTGGTCCCTCGATGCGGTTGCAACCCTCTCCCCCTCTCTCCGAGCAACGGAACACGTTCGGGGAAAGATCGAGCGCGTAGGAAGTCAGCAGGCAGTCGAAACCTCAGGTCAGCTAGGTCAATTCCGGACAAATCGGCCCAGTTCTGGTCGCCTACGTCCTACGTATCGCGCGACAAGGGACGTCCGCGTGCTTCACCCAAAGCCAGTCGTGGCTGCTAAGCAGCCGCACCTGACTTGGAAGAAAACATGCCCAACAAAGGGCCAGGACATTCTTGCAAAAACATGTGAGCAACGTTTTTTGCAACAAAGGTTATCGCAAATTGATGAAGTGTCTACACTCTGAAGATCTCTGATGTCACAATAAAAAATGTTGGTGCCTATCAAGGACTGGCCACAGTCCAACCGCAAACTGTCCAACCGCACTGTGCAATTGAATCAGATACAATCAAATTCTATTATGATCTATTATATAAAGTGGCCAACAGGGAGGAGTCAATTGCCAAACTCCACCCTCCCCCATCCACTTCTTCAAGCCCGACTCAAGGCTTGTAGCTGCGCTGAGGGGCTTTCTTTGGCCGCCGACTCAGCATACAACGTGGCAAACTCACCGAAGTGCGCTTGTGCCAGCTGCCCGTCCTCCATGACTGTCGGCTCGATTCCAAAGACTTCCACTGATGTCGAGACAGTTAGGCTCTACCAGCGGACGCCAAAAAGAAGTTGAGTGGAGCAGTCATCCAAATTCATGAAGAAACAACTAGTAACTACCAACACTGGAGTGCAAGATTCCGATAGAATGACTCCTGCAATCTTGGGCTGGGGTCACACTATGTCACACTGACCCACACAACATAGGACCAGGATCAAAACACTTAAGAGAAGTTTCCAACGTCTCTCTCACACACGGTATTAGAACGGCGGATCATCGGTGAAAGGAAAGTTGTGATTCTCATGCCACCTATACCATCCCCACCACGACTGACTCCACCCAAAAATAAATATAACTGAAACACTTCAACATCAACCTGACGGTCAACGGACACAACAGAAACTTACAGCCTTCCGTTTTGAAGCCGATTCCTGAATCTGAACGTCTGGCAAAGGAGTCACCCGGTGGTTGTCCGCGAACTTCATCCTAGGTGACCGCCGAGGGAGCGACACAAACGCTGGGAATGCCATCAGTGTCGATGCCATCAACTCCTCAAGTGTGTTGACCAGGGAAGCCTGGTCAGGTAATGTGCTAGAGTTGTATTCGTATGTCCTATACTTGAGTTTTTTGAAAGCTTGACGTACTTGCATGAGGTCGAAAGGTACCAAATATGTTTATTTAAATCTATTATATCTATATATTGGGGCACAAAGCTCAAAGAAGCCAGGCTTCATCCCTGATCTGCCCTGTAATTTCCAGTGAGCTGGAGAGCGATTGAAACTGAAGCTGAAAACCAACAAATGTTTGCGACATATATACACATACATTGTTTGTGAATAATATGCTCTATATCTAACCACATTGTTTTTTTAAATATATATATATATACATTATACATTATATCATAGGTATACTTTCGTGCCTGGGTCTGCTCGGTGGACAAGTGGCCGGTTGCAGGTATTCAAAGCGAAGGGCTGCGGTCGAAACGCCTGGCGCACGTGCGTCCTGGAAGCTGGGACGCCAGGGTTTGGGGATCATGATTTCATATGATTTCCCAATCACCACCACGGAGGATGATTCTCCGGTCGCACCGGCGCCGGTCGCTGAATGGGCGCGATCGCTTCCTCAACTGAAGGGTCTGTAAAGCGTGAGGCGTCTCCACACCTGGCCTCGGGTGAGGCGTGCCGAATCAGCTCCATAGCATACCAGTGCAAGAGCCGCCCTGAAAAGGTTGGTCCGGACCAATGGGAGAAACCGGACCAAGGTGTGGAATCTGGTCATATGTATTACACTCCGTCGAACGCATCACATGGAAGTGGAACACCCCCTGTTTGATCCTGTTTGTAAAGGAAAGTAGCCTTCCAAGGGACCATCTTCCACTTCCATGTTAGTGAGTCACATATATTACATATGACTCATATGACATATCTATAATTATCGATATCTTTATGTCTGTCCAACTTAGGAATAGGGCCCCCAAAGTAAAACCTGGCCCCACGAACAAGTTCAACCTCCTTTTCAGAAACAATAGTTGGTTGAAGCATACTCCTGGCTGGCCGCCCGCCGGCTCAGCACCAGCCCACACACAAACTAAACAAACCCAGGGGCCATTTTGTAATGAGTCTGCATTTGCTCTTGTGACTGGCACTTTTACACATGGACAGTATCCAAGTTCATCCCTAGTACCGCCTAGTACCAAAAGCAAAAAGAAGCACTTCTACCTGTGCGGCTAATTATGTTCCAGCGCTTGGACCTTAACAAAGCATTCAAGCTGCATTGTATGTTGGTAACTCACGGTTGAGTCCTCGTAACTGGGGACAGTAGCCTGGTCGCTTCTGCGGTAGAGAGATTGATCAAGTGTCACGTAGAAAAACAAAGTGATCATGCACCTGGAAGGTGTATGAAACGGTTTTTTTTCTCAGCAACTGATGGCAGCACGGTTGCTCAGCAGCATGCAAGCTGCTCCACAAAAATCTCATCCGGACCACGCCTGTGTCTCAGGTGAGACGGTGTGAGATGGTGAGTCGGGACGGTCTTGACAATTCAACTGGCTCACGTCTGGTGTTTCTGTTGGGGTGACGGCTTTGTATTTGACAGCCTTTTTAATAGACATCTCTAGTTGAAACGAGGCATGGTATATAGGTAATTAGTCTAAGTCTACGCGGCCAGCCAAGCCTAAACTACATGGTATTCCCTATGCGTGTGGCCGTCACCTCCTGTGTTTTGGCCGCCGGTGTCTCCACTGCGACACCTGTGCCACAGCGATCCAGGCATCTGCGGAGGCGTCGGGAGATGGGTTTCTCAAAGAACCTGGGCCATGTGAGGTGAGACGTGATGAGACCAGTATCAGTATCATCTATTAAAGAAACAGTGTCTCTGCGAGCTTGCCAAAAATCACAAGTTGCCAGGCATATGGGGAACATATGGATCATAAAGTGCTTGGGAATGACCTAATCCCATCTAATGCCATTAATTAACCTACTGGGACCTACTGTCTACTGTAAATGTCGCTTGCAGTGCATGACACTTCTGCAACAAGTGGTTGTGGGTCCATGGCCTCATGTTGGGTACATTCTATCACCACCAAAAAAGTAGATGATGACTCGTGGGGACCCCTTCTTGCTGACAGTGGAAACTGAACTCACCCTACCTATCTGAACTACTGGATGATCTTGAGATTCTGCCTCTTGTATGAGAGACACGGGTGTCATGACTGTTCGGTTTTACCAAGCTAAACGGTAACCATTGACATCCAGTTGTGTACTTCCAAGCAACTCTGTCAGAAACCACCTCAGGACCAGTGTCATCGGAAGCATCGTCAGCACCACCCACCACGGATGTGAGTTGATGCGTGTGCCGATCAGGTAGCCCTGGAACTCCATCAGGAGCATGTGAATCATGTAAGCACTCATCGAAATGTTTCCAAGAAACTGCATGATGCGTGAGTTGAAGAAGGCCACCAAGGATGAGCTCTGATGCAAAGGGCTGGTGATCGCCAAAACCCAATAATAAAAGAGGATAGGAAAAAATACCTCCAACACGGCTCTCAATCCCACCAGAATGCCGCATTGGACAGCTGCAGCCACTGAAAGCCCAGTGAAAAGAAACCAAATTCCAAAAAGGCTCCAGGGGCCGATGCAAGGCTCTTCACAGCAAGCACCATCCAGCACTTCTGGCCGCTCAGAGCGCGAGATGGGTGTTAAATCCTTGGGACAGCCCATCAGCAAAGGTTGAACTGCGGACGTGTCAGCTGTGGAGTCCACCCCCTATGTCTTGGAGCCATGCCGAGTGAACTGGCAGGTCTGAATTCAGATCTCTCTCTCTCTCTCTGGGCATGGCTTCCTGCCGCCGAAACCAGGCAGGCGCCAGACAACCGTACGGTACACACGGAAGTTGTTCACCTGGTCTCAGACTTCGACAACGGACCGCTTAGCCATGTCAATTTTCAGAGCTTCTCCGCCAAACCCACCCAACACCCCCAGTCGCGCTGGATCCTTTCAGCTTGCTCTTAGTCTTAGGGAATGGTCCGGTTCCGTCAGTGAGATTCAAGAGACGTACGCATGGGCATCCGAACACTCAACATCAGTGTTTTGCGGATTCCTAAAGGAGTGTCCATCACCCTCATTGCTCAAGTAGTGAAGTGTGTGTGTTTCTTAATTACATGTTCTTGCTGCATCCGGTCACTCTTCTGCTGCAAATCCCAGCATCCAAATCGCTGTCCTTCATAGCAGCTTGTTGGCGTTGAATTCGGATGAGCCCAGCACAAAGACCCATGACGAAGACAGGTAGGCGCAAGGGTGGAGTCATGCGCAGCCAGTAAGAGCCAAAAAGACCCATGCCTCACGTGGATCTTGAAGGCACCGCGAATCCCATGTTGAGGACACATGGTGACATTTCTCTAGGTTCTGGTAAGACCAAGCGCGCGAATGAAAAGGGATTCAACACCATCTTGGCTTGTGAGGGAGAGACACCCTATAGTGACTAGCACACACTACCCAAAGAGTGGGATGGTGCATCTCATGGATCAACTGGTGGATCTCGTGGATCATTTATCCAAAACTGTTATCTAGAATCTACAATTTGGCAAAACGAAGAGCAAAAACACTTGAATATCCCAAACAAGTAGTTGCAAGGAGAAACAATCTCTCACCCAACCCTTGGGGTGTAGACCCGACTCTCTGGGCTGTTGTCAATGCTGTCGAGCTGAATGTTCTGCAAAATCCAAAACCACACGGGTCATGGAATGAGAAACCGTTGGTAGTGACCGACCTTGCTTTTGAGGTTCCATGGCTTTTCCGTTCAGAGGAAATATGACACACACACACACAAAGAGAGAGAGAGAGAGAGATAGAGAGAGAGAGATAGATAGATAGATAGATAGATAAATACAAGTCTGTGTGTGTGTGTCTTCAGGGTCTGTTTTAATTACAGTATATGGAAGGACTGACATCGTTTGTACCATCCGAGTCGTTTTTCTTGTGGACGTTCCAACCTTGAGAGAACGCCAAAGCGAAGGCTCCCATCATGAGAAAGATCTGCAAAAGGTACATGGTCCATGCAAGCTTGGGCAAAGTCCTAGGCTGTAGTCGCTGAAGTCTAGGAGCCAAGGCCGGGAAACATAGGTAGAAGAAACACATCGTGGAGATCGTCCAGGTGAGCTCATTGCCCAAGGGCAAGCGCAGCGACCACGAGGTCAGGCCCAGGAAGGTGAGGACATAATCGACCCAAGTGACTTCATATGAATAGTGCGGCATGTCTCCAAAGACATCCTCTGCATATACTTGGCGCATCACGATTCCAATGATGTTGGTCAAATAGTCATCGGCACCAAGCGCATGAGGCGCTTGCACCAAAAGAGCCAGGCGCTGAGTCGAGCCAAGGGGCGGAAGTGCCCTTGCTCCGGGCAACAGCAATAACCGGCGCCAAGGCAACGACAGGCAAAGCCCGGTTCCAACATCACTTGACAATAACCGATGGCCATGACAAAGCCTGAGATGATATAGAAAAGCCCCATAGATCCACCTCCCATCAATGGAAAGCCGGCAAAAATCTCCCAACTGCAAAGCCCAGCGGTGGGTGCCGGTGCGTTCTCCGGTGTCGCATACCGTGGGTGTGTCTCGCTCCACATGAACAGGTGACCCAGAATGATGTGGAAGGCAGCAAAACCCCGCAAACCATCCACCGGCAAACTCTGAATCGGCACTTTTCGGGTTAGGCGGAACTCCATCTGGAACTCAGTGCTGGACATTGGCCGATGTCGCCAGAGCTGTGCAAGTTGAGAAAGAAAAGACTGTAGCAAAATGATGATCGTGACCTAGTGTTACATAAGTTCTGCATCCCCTTATGATGCAACAGCATGTAAGCGCCGGCCTTTAGCCTCCCCTGCAGTGCTGTCGAAAATGATCACTGCTGCTCAAACTGTGACGTCATGTTCATTTGTCAAGTCCATGTTTGCTTGAGCATAGCATCCTACTAGGAACAAGAAGCTACTAGGGGCTCCTGGCCTTTCTACTACGAGCAAGGACGCTACTAGGGGCTCCTGGCCGTACTACTAGGAGCAAGGGCGCTGCTAGTAACAAGAAGCTCTACCCACCCAGGCGGAACGATCCAAAACTTGCCATGGCGCTTTTCGAGTGTCAATGAAAACACAGACTACAATTAATGGTCACTATATGTCCCGAATGTCTACTGTATAATTTAATGTAACTCTAAATATCACTAAATATCTATAAATCACCACCACTTCACACCCCCATGGTAAGCAATACCACTCTGATCCTCCGCGTTTCTCTGAAAGAATCAAAAGCCGTCGGATGGTGGCCGCTCGTCTCGTCGCACCTTCGCAGGCTTCGACCGTATGCTGCTGGCCCACCTCGAAGGCCAGTCGACCTCCCAAGTGATCTGGTTACTGCTGTTCGGAGTTCCGGAGTCATTTAGAGTCATGTTCTCACACATTGTTCGAAACTCCAGGCATGCCCCAGCATGCTGTATGTATGTATGTATCTATCTATCTATGTATCTATGTATGTATGTATGTATGCCTGTATGCATGTATGTATGTATGTATCTATCTATGTATCTATGTATCTATGTATGTATCTATGTATGTATGTATGTATGCCTGATGCCTGTATGCATGTATGTATGTATGTATGTATGTATGTTTGCATGTGCATATGTTAGTGTATGTGTTAATCTATATGGATTGTGAGTGATTATGTACGTGTTTTTTTGCACAACCTCAACAACTCAAAGGGAGGAGGTCAACCGACACGAATCGGCATACAATTCGCTGAGTTGTATCAAACATGACATAGAGTATATTCTAATTACCCTGTAGCATGGTACTTGACTGTGAATTGTTTATGAACCGTTGAATGAAATTTCCGAGTAAAAACTCAGGGTCCCACAAGAACAATTCTTGAACCCATGACCGGCCATGTCATGCACAGCCACAAATGACAAACCAAAACACCACTGCTATCTATGTCCAGGTTTGATGAGCAAATGGATGCAAATGCACAAGGAACGGACTTGCCAAAACTCTCCGATATCTGCCAAATATACAACCGGAGGCCCCCTGGCGCTTAGCCATGCACCCGGTGCCTAAGGAGCAGGAGGGCACCAGCACTCGGCCAGCCTCCAAAGAACGGGGTCAGGGCCCCAAACGGATGCGTTAAACGATGTGGCAACTAGCATCCATGGGAATCCATCGTTTAAAGGATGATGTGCATATTTGCAAAATATTGCAACTAGCTAGGCCAGTTGATAGTTACTGCACTCGATTTCGCGGGATGTGTTCATGGGCCTGCTCTGTTCTCTCAAAGGGCCATTTGTCAAATAAGGTTGCTTCTGAGGAAGGCGTTCGGCGGGCGGGAGGGGATACCTTACCTTCCTCCCAGCCACACAAGCATAAGTCAGTTGAACCCCAAACCCGTCTTCCTCCAGCCCAGGGGAGTAAGCGGCCTGTGCTGTTTTCAGACAATATCATATCATATCTCCATGGCTTCAGCTGTTTGAAGTCCAGCACGTGGCTGCCAGGAACACCTCCGTGTGGACACGAACTATGGGCGCGCCAAGAACAACGCATATCTGCGGCCTGAGTGAGATGGCTCCCAAGAGCACCCAACAGCTTCTCAAAGCACACCTGCCGCTCCTGCATGGTTTGACGGGCCCCATGCCTCCTCAAAGGACAGGAATATATGCCTCATGTCATCGTCTCGATTTAATGACTGTCCAGAGAGGACCAAACAGTTTCAGGATATTGAGAAACCAAAAAACGGCCACACACCACAAACCCGGGACCATTCTCCCGCCAACATGAACGCAGGACCGAGCGTCCTCGAACGCCCACAGGACGACCGAGCGCTTGGGTTCTTCGAACCGGCGAACGGTGACCGGAGTGGCTGGCTTCGTCTTGTCAAGCACTTGACTGATGGTTTCGCTTTAAAAGTTAAACATCTCAATGTCCTCGCAAGCACATCTCTAAAGGAAACCAAAAAATATTTCGCCTTCACGTACTGCAAACGTTATTCCCCTATATTCCCCTAACAGGTCGACCTGTGAGAAGTTCTTATTTCGTTCAAACGATGCTTTTGCTGGTCGTAGGGGTTCTGTTTTCGGGTGTGGTGAGTTGGTTGAACTTGTATGCGGTGTCTCTGGCTGTCTTAGGCCGTCTCTGTTTGTTTGCTTGCTTGCATTGTTTCAACAATTGAATGCCTTTCAGATATGGTTTCACAAAAAGAGCATAGGGTCACAAGTTCAACTCGGTTGGAATCTTTCCGGACAAGACAATAACAAGCTAGGGCTAGGACTGATGGTGTGCAATCTGCAAACCAAAAATACCAAAACAACGAACACATGTGACATAAATTGATCGTGAATCGCCTCAGTACCTGTCCATGGCCGTGGCCCAAAGCCGCCCAAAACCTCAGTACCTGTCCTGCAAGCCCTCTGCCGACCATTCTCGCCTCAGCTCCCCACGGTCAGGGCGAGACTTGGGTGCTCGATGCCATAGAGCGCTACGTACCATGGGCGTTCTTAGTTATATACGTTCGCAGCGATGCCCTTGGTTCCTAGTCGCAATGTCCTTTGTTCCTAGTATCGATAGCCCTGACATGCCCTGACTAGCCATAAAGCTTTGGGTCTTTCCTTTCATGTTCATCCCTCAGGAGAACTCAGGCTCTGACACAAAGGTCTGCAACAGGGTTTGGACCTTAGTAGGTCGACTGGCAAGTGAGCAACCGGTTTGTCCTCAAACACAGTCCACGGTGGATGTGTTGATCACATCCAATTCGTTCCTCCAGTGGTTTAGTCACTTAGTCGAACATTCACCAGGCAGATCCCGACAAAAGCCATGGCTTGTGGCGTTGGGGGCATTGTTCTGCCACATACGGCCCCAGAAACCCCAGGGTTGGTTGTAGTGCTGTGGGGAGAGAGGCCCCTCAGTTTCCTCAATGACCTCCACGTCCAAGTGCTCGGCCGGCTTGGTGCCCACGGGCGTACTGATTCCGTCCCTGATTCCGCAGGGGTGGAGCCACACCGAGATGGGACGCCCGAAGCAAATCGATTCTTCTCGCTGACGGGTGAAATCAATGCGAATGTTCTGCCATTGATCCTCGCATCGATGTCACAGACCATGAAACGTCGATACGTCGTCTTGGCGCCACAGACCGCGTCTCAACCGACCGCCGCGCCTGGAAGCCTTTTCCGCGGTCTCTGCCTCCTCAAGGAGACCAGGGTATCCAGAATTGGGTGGGTGAAGGCGTTCAAAACAAGTTCAGATATATATTCAAAACTGGGGAGCACAATGTTTCTCAAAACCGCAGTGTCTCACACGATGTATGTGGCTCAGGGCGTTTGTTTTGTATTTGGCACGGTTCGCCATTGAAGCAGTTTTTGAGGTCAAGTTGAGTAGGAGCTTGAGGTTGGAAAGCCATGGCGCTTCCACAGGTGGTGGTGGACATGATCGCATCGGCAGGATGCGAATGGATCCACGAGCGCAAGAACTTTCCAGCACTCCATGAGGACAAGAAGGTGTACTCCATGGTGGAAGTGTTTTCTGGAAAGGGAGAACTTAGCAAGGCCTACAAAGCCTGTGGAGGCGAGGTGGTCTTGGGAGAATTGGTTTTTGGTTAGCTAAAAACCTTGCATTTGGGGTGGTTTCATTGCAGTGCTCCTGTGTTTGAAGCAAGAGTTGATCCAAGTGTGCGAGGACCGTAACAACAAAAGGACCAGGACCTTAAGGTCAAGGAAAGCTGTTGTAAATACTAGGGTTTACGTAACAGCAGTGCTAGATATAATAATGTCAGTGGAGCTAACACTGGCACTGTTGCGATGTCATATATAAAATATACAGACAGGAACAAACTTACCAGACAAATGCACTGTGTATCTTGCATACAGCGTCTATTCTAGGGCGGCTTGGTGTTCAACTCAAAGCAAAAACAATTCTTCCATCACTGACTGGACCTGAATAATTTTGACAAAGAGAACCATTACGTATAACTAGCACGGGGGAAACTACGGCAAAACCACCTCCAGTGTGTAAGCAGGCCCAAAACAAACTCAGATTCACCTTTGTGGTGACTTGATAGGCCTGTCAAAAGCAAGTCACATCATGTTTTGTAGTGGCCCCCCATCGTATGCCTTCAATACTCCTAGTACGCTACAATCAAACACAAAATACTATCTCCATAGTGTGAGAACAAACAGGCTCAGAGGCCACAAACAAGTTGGTACTGCAAGCCTGGCCTCACCTGAACACCAACCATTATTGACTGATCACTGATCACGGATCATTCCAACTGGGTAGCTTGCTCCATTTTCGGACTAGCAAGTTAGAGGAAGTCCTGTCTCAGGTATCCTTTTAGGCTCCAACCTTAGAAATCCATATCGTTCTATGAGAAAACCCACCAGTCGTTTTGCAAGTGCTGGTGTGTGAAACCTTGATCTTGTGGTATACGGCACCTGGCTTTGTGAACCAGCAAACAGTGCGTGTTCTACTTGTTTCATTATTTTCTTTGGGTGTGTGCGTAATGTTTTTTGTGAATCACTATCAGGGAACAGGATTGTGAGTGTATGGACACAACTGAGTTGGCTTGGGTTTGGTCCCACCAACGCAGCACTGTGGATCCAGGCAAGTGCTATTCCTTCGACATTGCAGGGGACCCTTCGATGGATATCACAAACTTCGAGCACCGCAAGCTGCTGACTCAGGCGATTTGCGGGGTCAAGGAAGGTGGCCTAGTTTGGTTTGCACCACCGTGCAGTTCGTGGGTATGGATC